GATTACATCTTGGAGCAATGTTTTGGTGTTTTATTTAAAAATAAAGACAATCACCCGATACCCGATGTAAATTTATAGCTATCTATGGGCTACTAAATGAGCACTAGTTTCGGAGCAGAAGACTGACCGGCTACAATCACTGCTATAGATGGTTAATATAACAAACGGTGCATCCGACCCAGGTTAACTGTCATGTAATTCAGGGTCACGACGCTTTCCTGATGCATCAGGGTCGGTTACTAGATCCGAAATGAACACCCGAGTTTCGCTATGAGAATCACAGTTTGCACTGATCCATTTGTTCTAGTAAAATTTTACAAATTGTCTTTGCAAACACACGTGTCAGATTAGCTGGCCCCCCACACATAATGTCTCATAATGCCTGTAAGTTGTGATAGTTTCCACTTCGCCGTCTCTCAGTATTCATTCACTTGATTCTAGGGTTAAACGTTCCGGTATTTTTAATACTTGTCACCTATGAGCGCTTTTGGAATTCGAAGATCCACTGTGCGTTTTTCAGTTGTGATAGTACGTGATAGTACTCTCGCGATTTTACTGAGACCCAAATTCCACAATTCTATCGTCTCATTTAGGCGTATACATGCAAGTATATAATGAATGTAAGCATTTGTCGACGCGCATCAAATACCTCGGAAGCATTATATGGCCGTTTTCGTCTTCCCGTCAAATGTGCATACCTGAACAAGAAGGAATCAATAGTTCAATGCTCCAATTTACTTGATATGGAAATTTTGACTAATTTATATTCTATATTGAATAAATTTCCAACCAGTGAAACTCTGAGCAATGTTACAAACAGTTAATGAAGAAGTCAACAGTGGTAGAATGGAGTATTCTATTTGCTTTTCGAATAAAATTGCGCCACAATGAGCTATCAGAACTGTTAAATGATGTGCACGCTTCTACCGGGTTGTAGAAGCAGACTTTCACCTGGAAAAGCCACTTTTATTGGCAGATTGTGGGATTTATTTGCAGTGAGTCACATCAGTCCAGTGTGAATTCATTGGGATGAGAAAATGTGAAACTCTACTGGTTGAGCTCATGGGAAACAGAAGTTGACGGAATGTCACATCGGTTAGCGTCTTTCACGTCCCGCTATCAGCTGAATAATGGGGAAAAGTAACCGAACTCCCTCTGGGGTTGTTTGGCGTCTGAAACATGCCTATTTCTCATACTGAACCCAACTGACGCTCATATTAACTCACATTTCAGTCAAACGAAACCGTCTCACACAGTTCAAAACTCATCACAACCCGGTAGGGCAATGGGGTGAAATAGGACCGATGGTCTCATCCATGTATCCCACACGGTCTACCGCTGATAAACAGTATCAATTTATTTATGTGCGATGAAAATGTTTGATACCCGACCAAGAACA